GACCGCAGCCAGTCTCATGGCTCGTACTGCAGGTCCGTGGAGATGAGCAAAAATCCCTGCAGGGAGTCAGGGTGAGAGGAGGGACATGAGGGGACACAGGGGACACCAAGGTGAGGGGACAGTGGTGGCACCCACCTCCTGCAGCGAGAGCCGGGGACGGAGCAGGCTGAGGCCGTGCGGGAGGGGCAGGGGGATGCCAGTCTGGAGCCACTCTGTGGGGAGACAAAGTCATAAGGGGAGGTGGACCTGGTGCAGCCAGAGGGGGATGGGGACAAGATGGGGACAGCACTCACTGTTTGCCCGGGGCACCCCAAAAAGCCACAGCCCAAACTTCAGCAGGGTCTCCAGGTGCTTCACCTGCAGGACAGGCAGCCACTGAGCCCAGCACAGAGCAGACAGAGAGGTCCACAGTGCAGGGAGGGCTCAGTCCCCTGCCAAATTTGCCTTGCGTCAGGTCCACAGCACCCCCAGACCTCTCCACACCCTATTCCCAAGATGATATGAAATTCAAGGCTCCCCTTGGCTGCCCCAGCACAGTCACTCACCTCCACTGGGCCCACATTTGATGCCACCTGTGTCACGTTGAGCCTGGAAGACAAGAGCAGGGTCAGAGACTGGCATGGGGATGGGGACTGTCCCTCCCAGGGTAGGGACAGGCTGAGCTCCGCGGCGGAGCTGAGAGCTCAGCAGAGCAAGTCCAGCTGAGGATCTAGTGCCAGGGCAGCTGACATGGGTGAGAGCCAAGGGCAGGATAGTGCCTGAGAAGGTGATACAAAACCCAGGGAGGCAAATGGATAGGGGTGGGGAACGGGGGAGCTCCCCAGGTACGTCCCAGGGCAGTCCAGACCCAGTTTGGGGTCAGGTACTCACCCCTTCAGGCTCACAGTGCCCCCAAGCCTGTTCTTGGTGATGGTTGGCTTCCCTGTCACGTTGGCATCCTGAAGCAAGAAGATATGTTGGAGAGATCAGGCCGATGCCTGCAACCCAGCAACCGCCAGCATGGCCCCAGTATCCCTCCAGTATCACCCAGCATGGCCCCAGCCAGGAGCACAGGTAGGCCCCAGCCAAGCCCATTGGGGTCC